CAGCAGTTTGCACGGGCACAAAGGCAGCGCTGGAGCCTGCGCCTGCAGACCCCGCTCCCGTTTTGGGGTGGCACAGCTCTTTCTGCTCAGCTGGTACCAGAACGGGAGGGTCTGGCTCCTGGCTGCCGGAGCACAATGACACGAGGAGCAAACTGAGCTCACTTGGGCACCCTTGAAAATCACAGGCAGTAATTAAATCACTCTTGACCCAGTTGGATTTGAACTGGCATCTGCAACATGAAAACATCTTTCATCTGTGGACATCCCGTATCTAATTGCCGCCTGCACTGCAATTCAACACGAGACAACAGAAATCTATGATTTGCCTTGCAAGAAAATGCCTAATGAACAATAATTTGTTTTTAAGTTGGGGGTCTTTTTGGCATAGAGCTAATAAATTGTAATGATACTGATTATCACATCTGTTTGCCAGCTAAGCTCCTCCACAGCTTTGCTCCACGAAACACAAGCGATTACAGCCTTTGCAGAAATAACTGATCAGAGAAGCCAGGGGGGGAAAAGATCGAGCGGCATCTGTGAAAGCTGCCTTTGATGTAGCTGTAGATGTCAGTGCGAGACAGAGATTCCAGCTCAGAGGACTATCCCATCTTTGTCTAACTCAGTAATTCCATTTAACCCATTGTCTTTAAAAACACCCCCTCTCCTCCCAAGGCTCCCCCAGTGCTGACACGTCACCAGGCTGGTGTGAGCCTGCCCTCGCCGTGGGCTGTGCCGGGCCAAGCCCAGCGCCGGGGCAGGCAGCTTGGCCAGGAGCTGCCCGAGAAGGGGCGGCTGCCCCCATGCCCGCAGGCAGATGCATCTTCTCAGCACCCAAAGGGGCTGGTTTGGCCGGTGAAGGGCTCTGGGAGGGCTGTGATGGCCCCAAGCCACCATCACCTCTGCCCAGCCCTGCCCGCACCCCCCTGCCCGCGCCGCAGCCCCGGCGGGAGCACGGAGCAGGAGCCTCTCCCACGCTTGGCCTTAGCTCCCTCGGGCCGGGCACGAGGGGCTGATCCCCAAATCTTGGCAGCGGAGGGCGCTTGGGTTTGGGGGAGCGGGGATCAGCCCCAATCCCAGCACAACCCCGAGCACCCACGGTGCCAGCGGCACGACCGGCGTGGAGGGGACGCGGGAGTCACATCAGCTGCTTCCTGGCCCTAATTTGTGATTTGCGGGCCACATGCCCCTCCCCGGGCTCACGCCTCAGGAGGCTGGGAAAGGTTGCCCATGACAAAGCTGGAAATGACATTTTTAACCCAAAGTGCGGGGGAGAAGGTCTGCACGGGCACCGCTTCCCCACCGCCGCGGGGGGGGCGGGAGGGATGGGGGGCGAGGCGAGCGGATGCCGGCTGCAATTTCCCCGCGTAAGCGAATCGCAGCCCTGCGCAAGCAGAAGCCGACTTCACCTTGAACGCCAGAGCAAAGCCCCGAGGGCTGCGCCGGCGGAGCCCAGGGACGGTGCGGGAGTACAAAGAGCCAAAGAGCGTGCCTGCATGCTCCGAGATTCTTTGGCTCGGCAGGAAGCGCACCCCTGGACAGCCTCCCGTCGAGCCACAACCGGGTCCAGGGGGAGAAGCTGGAAGCTACAGGCGGGAATTTATGAGCCCTGTTCCCATTAAAATAGCAGGCGATATTTCCATCTGTCAGTAAACGATGATAAACACACCAGCTCCTTTGCATATCCCAGGCCTCGCTCAAACAAAACCAGCACCAGGGAGGGCAGGGTTTGGCACGCAGGCGGCCACTGCCATGCTAGGAATTTATGGCTCCAGCCTGCCCGGTCTCGGGCGAGAGCAGGAGCAGGTTTTTGTACAGACCGATCCCCAGGGGTCCGCCAAGGCCAGGGCACCACAGCCAGGGCCCTGGCACCCACCGCAGCACCCAGCTGCCCACCCTTCTGGCTTGCTGGGGACCAGCACCCTCCTGACCCGGCTGTGAGCCAGGTCCCGCCAGCACTTCCCTGCCTTCGAGGGAACTCAGTGCTCAGCAGGATGGAGAGTGCTGGAGAGGAGCACGGGTCCAGGTCTGCACCCAGGACCTTCCCCCCCAGCCCCAGATGTGCCAGAAGCCACCAGTGAGCCCAGCAGCAAAGGCACCGCCACCGAGCACCGCGGTACCCGGAGAGAACATGCGTGCTGTGACCACCCGTCCCGCTAACCGGGGCTGGGGAGCCTGCGTGCAGCAGATGTTCCCACCCTGCAACCCGCTGCTGCTTTGCTGTTTACAAAAACATGGCAGATTTGTTTGCCAACCCTTCGGTTGCTCTTAAACAAACATTTCCTGACCAAACTGGGACCAGCCAGAGACACCCCCCTCGAGCAGCAGCGGGTCCCGGGGGAGGCTCCGGCCCCGGACTGGGCAGAGGAGTCTGCACCAGCTCCAGGGTGGACAAACTCCCTTGGGTTCCTGCTTAGTGCCACTCAAACCCTCGGAGCTGAAAGGCTCAGGGCTGGTCAGTCGTTGTTGTAGGGTGACATTTGTTGTTTCCCTGCTTTTATGCGGGAGGAAATCTGTAGCAGGCAGCAGTATAGGCCCGGGCTGGGTAAGTGCCGCCAGATGGGACAGAGGGCAAGAGAGTCCTTGCCCTTGCACGAGCTCCTGCTTGGTGGCACAGCACCCCTGCCCCATGCCAGCACCCCTGCCCCGTGCCATCAGCACCCCTGCCCCGTGCCATCAGCACCCCTGCCCCATGCCAGCACCCCTGCCCCGTGCCATCAGCACCCCTGCCCCATGCCAGCACCCCTGCCCCGTGCCATCAGCACCCCTGCCCCATGCCAGCACCCCTGCCCCATGCCAGCACCCCTGCCCCGTGCCAGCACCCCTGCCCCGTGCCAGCACCCCTGCCCCGTGCCATCAGCACCCCTGCCCCGTGCCAGCACCCCTGCCCCGTGCCATCACCCCTGCCCCGTGCCAGCACCCCTGCCCCGTGCCATCAGCACCCCTGCCCCGTGCCAGCACCCCTGCCCCGTGCCATCACCCCTGCCCTGTGCCAGCACCCCTGCCCCGTGCCATCAGCACCCCTGCCCTGTGCCAGCACCCCTGCCCTGTGCCAGCACCCCTGCCCCGTGCCATCAGCACCCCTGCCCCGTGCCATCACCCCTGCCCTGTGCCAGCACCCCTGCCCCGTGCCATCAGCACCCCTGCCCTGTGCCAGCACCCCTGCCCCATGCCAGCACCCCTGCCCTGTGCCAGCACCCCTGCCCCGTGCCAGCACCCCTGCCCCATGCCATCAGCACCCCTGCCCCGTGCCATCAGCACCCCTGCCCCGTGCCAGCACCCCTGCCCCGTGCCAGCCACACTGCTGCAGCTGATGGGTGAGGGGCCGGGATGAACCCCCCAGCCCCTTGGCCCCCAGGGACGAGCCCCAGCCCTCAGAAAGTGCCCCCAGAGAACCAGCAAGAGGGGCTTAGAGGACACTGCCCGTCACCAGGGTCACATTTTGGAAAATCCCAAGCAGGAAGCCAGAGGCTTGGTTAGCTGGGCTCAGCATGGCGGGGGTCACCTCGCTGCTCTTCGGCAGAGGCTTTGTGTCCCGGTGCTGCAGCTGGCAGCCAGTTCACACCCAACTGCACCTCCCGAGCTGCTAACAACCTGGAGTGGATGTCGAGCCTGCCTGGGGGGATGACGCCATGCCCTCCTGCCAGCCGTGACACAACGGAGGTGTTGCATAATAATTAGGTGATTAACAGGAGCTCCACTGACAAAAAGAGAAACCGTCACCAACTGGCAGCAGCCCCGGCCCACTACACCCCCCGCCCCACATCGCATGGACGCCCAGCAAGAAGAACAGGCCCCTGAGCACGTCACCCTGGGAGTCCAGACAGAGGTGCTGTGGGGCACCCCGCAAAAGACACCTTTGGTGCAACGTCTGAGGTTCCGTCGCTCAGCCCGTCACCCAAACACCTGGCGAAACAAAACCAAGGACCTTAAAAGATCCTGTCAAGGGCAAGCGCGGGGCTGCCTTGGCTGCCACGTCTGCTGCGTGGCTTTTGTGATAAACATCGGTCTCTAAATGGAAAACAAAACCTGCCCTTGTTGCAATGCTGGTGCTTTCCTTCTCGCTGGAACAGATCGACCCCGTTAAACACACCACCCCGGGGCGGCCCTGCTTCTCTGCCCTGTGGCCAGGCCCACCCGTGTCGGCGTTGTGGCAGACGACGCGCCCGCGCTGGCGGGGACCCCGGGAGCTAACGGCTGGCAGCAGCTCCCCTTGCACGAGGGACTCGGGGCAGCAGCCGCCCCCTCTGTGCAAACACACCCCGGGTGCCCTCCCCGGGCAGCCTCCCCTGGGGCTGCAGGAGAGCAGCGTGATCCCCCCCCCCCAGCCCGGGACAACTTGCCAAGGACGTCACACGCTGAAGGGCCACCGGGATCCAAGGCAGGTTAACAGGGGTTGCCAGCGCAGAGCACCCCAACAGAAAAACGGAGGTGAAGTTTCAGAAGATCACAGTTTCCAAAGCCTCTAACCATATTTGAAAATACGGTTTTCATATTCTGAGCTTTTGAGGAGTCCATCCTTAACCCTCAGCACCAAAACCTAAGCAGCATCTTGAGGCAACAGCAGCCAAACCCAGCACAGTTACAGGACATGTGCACGGCAGGAGGCTGGAGGGACAGGGGCGAGATGGCAGCTGGGGAGCAGGTAGCCAGTAACCCAGAACCAGCAGTCACCCCACCCTCGGGTGCGCCCGCCCCAGCTGCACCACTCAGCCACGGAAACCCAGGAAGACGCTCACGGAGACACAAAGTACCAGCAACAGCGCCCGCGCACCGTGCCCGTCTGCCCGGCGCAGCAGCCTGGGCTCTCTGCCCCCCAAAACCACTCGAGGCGCAGCAGTGACAGCGGGGTGGGGAGGCCCCCGGGGCTCAGGCAGAGCAGCAAGTGACAGATGCCGAGGACACGACAGAGCGTTCCCGAGCAGCCCACGGGTGCGGCGCACCCAGCCCCGCACAGCGAGGGCAGCCTTTGGGCAGCCTCGGCCCGCGGGACGGGCTCCTACCTGGGGCTGCCGGCATCTTCCCCTTGTTGAGCTGCTTGAGGCGCTTCTGGTGGGACTTGCCGTTGTAGTGGATCTGCGCCTGCGCGGCCGAGTTGAGCTGGATGTTGCAGACCTCGCAGAGCGTGAACGACTGGTGCTTCTTCTCCCGCTTCATGCGCTGCTCGGGCTGGCTCGGCGGGCAGCCGGCCGCCTCCGCCACCCGCACCCCGGGCTCGGGGTTGTGGGATGGGCTCAGGGGTCGCTTCATGCCTGCGGGAGGAAGGACAGACCCGCCGTGAGGACAGAGGGACGGGAACAGGGGGCCAGGTGGGGCAGGAGCACCCAGCACAGGTCCCGCGCCCGTGGGGTGCCCAGGCTGCCTGGATCTGGGGGGGGGGGTCTCTGAGCAAGAGCAACGGCGTTTGCATCTCTGCAAGGAGTGGCACTGGGCGAGACGACGTGAGCCGCAGCATTCCGAGGGGGTTAGTGCTGGGGTGGGAACAACCCACTTCTTCCAAGTTTCAGCACCAGACGACACTCCTCTTGCTAGCTAAAGTCTTTCTGTTCGCTCCCGGACAGCGCCGTAGGTCGGCCTGAGGCAGAGCTGGGACAGCAACCAGCTCTGCAGGCAAGAAACGGAACGGGAAGGGCTCGTGCGCGGCGGCTCTGGTGTCCTGCACCCACGGCACGGCGGGAGGAGGACCGGCACCGGCCCCCCGAGCCACGAGTGCTGCGGGCGCCTGTCCTGGACACGGGGCTCTGGGGGACCAACCTGCACTGGGAGCTCCAGTCCCCGACCCACGCTGGGAGCTCCAGTCCCTGACCCACGTTGGGAGCTCCAGTCCCCGACCCACACTGGGAGCTCCAGTCCCTGACCCACGTTGGGAGCTCCAGTCCCCGACCCACGCTGGGAGCTCCAGTCCCTGACCCACGTTGGGAGCTCCAGTCCCCGACCCACACTGGGAGCTCCAGTCCCTGACCCACGTTGGGAGCTCCAGTCCCTGACCCACGTTGGGAGCTCCAGTCCCCGACCCACGCTGGGAGCTCCAGTCCCCGACCCACGCTGGGAGCTCCAGTCCCTGACCCACGCTGGGAGCTCCAGTCCCCGACCCACGCTGGGAGCTCCAGTCCCTGACCCACGCTGGGAGCTCCAGTCCCCGACCCACGCTGGGAGCTCCAGTCCCTGACCCACGCTGGGAGCTCCAGTCCCCGACCCACGCTGGGAGCTCCAGTCCCTGACCCACGCTGGGAGCTCCAGTCCCCGACCCACAGGCACAGCCCGTGGAAGAGCTGCCCGCAGAGGGGCTGGGGTCACCCGGGGAGGGCCTTCCCGTGGCCTTCGCCTTGCGGACACAGTGTCCCCACTGCCCAAGCCCAAACTGGGAGCTGATGGGACAGCCAGAACTGAGCCTGGGAGAGGCGCGAAGGTCACCCCAGCCCGGCGATCCAGTTACCACCTCGGAGCTGGCGGCCACTGGTTGCGAACGCCTGTGGGCACGCTGCGCTGAGACCCCGGGGGCCACGGGTGGGGGACCGGGGTGTCGGGGGGGGGGCAGGCCGGCCCCAAGGGCGCGCTGCAGGGGTGCCCCGGGACGGGCTGCACAGACCCGTCTCAGGGGTTCACCCGGGCGCTCCTGGGGTGTCAGGGACCCCAGCACCGGCTGCGGTTTATGCAAGGGGCAGCCCCCGCCGCCCCCGCACACGGGCTGCGGGAGGAGCCGGGCCGGGGGATTTCTCCCCACAGGCGACCCCTCGCAACTCGAGCACCCCACGGCGTGTCCCCGGCGCCCCCAGCAGCGAGCCCGGGCAGCCGCGGGAGCGGCGTGGGTGGGTTCGGTGGGGGCTGCCCACGCACCCACCCAGCACCCGGCAGGCGGGGGAGCGCCCGCGGCCGCGCAGATAAAGCAGGGGTTTTGGGGGGCGGGGGGGCTTGCAGCCCCGGCCGCGGCCCCGCGGGGGCGCAGCCGCTCCGCGCTGCTGTCTGCGGCAAAGGCGGGGGGGTGTGTGTGTGGGGGGGGTGTTTGCGGGGAACCCCCCGCCGCGGTGCGTGGGTGCGCCCCCACCCGCCCCACCCGCGTGGCGAACGCCCCCGGCCTCAGCGGGTTTTGGCATTTTCGAGGCGCCAGACCCGTCCTGCCCTTCCCAGCTCCCCGGAGGCGCCAAGAAACATCTCCCGTAATAGTTATATTTAGCAAAAAGTAACGGAAGGATTTTCCACGAGCTGTTAGTTGAGCCGGAGGCGAAAGCCGGGACCCGCAGGGGTGGCGGGTGACCCAGGCTGCCCCCCCGACCCTGCTCGCCTGCGGAGCCAGCGCGGTGTCACCCAGGGATGCCACCACCCGGGGGATGCCGCCAGCCCGCGCCCACCAACCCACTCGCCACCGTCTCCGGGAGGATTCGCCCCCATTTCTGCCCAGGGGGGCGTCCGCATGCGGGGACGGGGCGATGCGCTCTGACCTTGGAGCCAGCCGGGCACTGGGCAGAGGGTTGGGCCAACCCCCACCGTCCCTTCCAGCCTCAATTGCTCCAGGAGTAGCCAAAAATGTTAGCAGGAGAGCCGTAAACTCCCACTTCACCAGTTAAATACTAAGCAGTGTAACTAAAAGGGGCTTTACATTAAAAATAACTAAATCTACTTTTTGATAGAAAGATTTAGGAACCTGAAGCTCGCACACAGCCCTCTGGTACCTGTTAACCCCGGACTCTCTCTATAGAGACCTCACGATTTTGCCTGAAGCTCCAGCGTTAACTTTCAATCAAAATGAAAGAAAATGCATGGCCCCTATGCTTGAGGCAAGTGAAAAAAGCACGGCCCAGCCCTGAAAGGCTCAAAACACCCCTAAATGTTATTTAGCCAAAAAATAGCTGATGTTTTTCAAACGAAATCTCCCGGACTTGGCGCAGTCGGGGCTGTCACAGCGGCAGGACGGAGCCCCCCCCACACCGAGAGCAAAAGTCTCGGTCCCCGAGCTGCCCCGTCTGACCGAGGCACATCGTTTGTGGTCATTCCCCCAAACCCAGAGCAGTCGGTGCCTGATCGCCCTCGGATGGGCAGGGAGCCCCGCGGCACCCCGGGGAGAGGGCCTTTACCAGAATAACCATTAGCGGAGCAGCCGGAAAGCAGATCTGGGAGACGGTCGGCACCGGGAATGTGAAACGGGGCCTCGGGGACGCAGCGGGACACGCAGAGCACCGGTGGGGACACGCCAGTGGAGGCAGGTCCCCGGGTGCCCTTGGCATCCTCCCCCTCCCCGGGTATTTTTAATGCAATTACATCTCAGGACGCAGAGCTAAAATTGGAACATTATGTGGACAAAGTATCCCAAAAGTCTCTCTTGTCTTAAAAAAAGGAACCGCTGCTGCTTTGATTAGATGGCAGCTCCCTGTCCCAGCTCTTGTTGCAGCGTTTAAAAGGTCTGTCCTAATTGCACGCACGCTTGTCTCATTCACTTAATTTCTCTTGCGCCTGTTCTGCTTCTCAGGTGTCAGGACCATAAATTTGGTGATTCGTGGCTGGGACAGGTCACTGCACGTGTGAGGACCCGCAGCTCTCTGACTGATGGCTACTTTGGGGGCAGATTTTGCCTTTTCAGCAAAGCATTGATGATCTTTTGAGGGAGCTGTTACTCCTTTTCACAGGAGGGAAACTGAGGCACGGTGAAGGTGAAGTGGCACCCCCAGAGCCCCAGGGAGACGGGGCCAAACCCAGCACCAAGCGCAGGGTCACCGCACCCCAGCTCCACCGCCCTGTCCCACCCCAGGCCGGTGAAGCCGAGCAAGATGAGCAACCTCGTCGTTTGGGTGGTCTTCCCAAGGGGCTCCGGGCTCCACTGGGACGGGGGGGCTGAGCTGCGCTCACCCACCTCTGCCCAGATTTCACCTGGCTGACCAGCATCAATGACACCTCCCCGGACCCGCCACGTCCCCCCCACTATCTGCACTTTTTGCTGCCCTTTGCTTGGAGCCACCGAGGGCTGCGCCGGCGAAAAGCTCCCTGACAGATGTCCAAATCTCTCTGAAATAAAAGAAGGTCAGAGCGGCTTGGGTGTCACCGCAGCGGCGAGGGCTGCGTCAAACCACCCGTCCTCCCACCGCACAGCGCTCCCAGGACACGCTGCCCACCCACCCCAGTGAGCCTCTGTCTGTCCCCCCCCCAGACACTGGTCCTCCCCCCTGGTCCCGAGCCCCAGACACCCCGCAGACACACGCAGCCCCAGCCCAGGACTGCAGCACTCCGGTCTCCGAGTCTGAGGGAGCTTTTCCCCTCTAGAACGCGCTGCTTTTATTGTTCACCATCACTTGGGATAACAAACTGATTCCGGGACTTGCCATCCCATCGCCCCCCGGCCCCCAGCCACCAGACTGCGCTCCCCAGCCGAGCAGCACGCAGGCTGTCGGGCAGGCAGGTCTGCACCGAGAGTTCATCATTTTAAGGTCAGTTTTATGCTCTTGTACAGTAGCCCATAACCTCAGATCTCTCCCTCTCTTTCTTTTTTTTAATAACACCATAAACATGTTGCAAAAGGCTGTAAAGCGCTGACAAATCTTGGAGAGAATTTAAAATCCAGGCATTAAATATCTGAAATAAGAACCACTCTGGTTTATCGAGGGTGCACAGCAGCAGAGCTCACCTCCTTTCCAGAGAGCACCCGAGCGGGTGGACGGGCAGCGGCGGAGCGAGGCTCTGCCGGGGGAGGACACATCCTCCAGCTGCTCCAGGAGCTTTGCAGCGGCCGCTCCGCTCCCCGACCGCCCCAGCTCAGCCTCCCACGGACCACGCTTCCCCACCGACAGTGATTTGTCCCCCCAGGAGCCAGAGGCGTTTGCACCAGGGGCCCGGGCAGCAGGACTCTGTGCCCGCGCTGGCTCTGGCCCCAGGGACGCTGCACCCCCCGGGCGCTGGGGTAACCGCGCAGCCGATGCCGCGGCCCAAATTAATTTCAGCCCCTGGAAGACCCTGACTGGTCGCCCGAGCAGCCGGGGCCTGGCCTTGCCCTGACCTTGGCGTGCACACAGCGGTGAGATCCCATTTCCCGAGGCCCCGGCACCTCCAGGCTTGTGGTCCCCCCCGCCGGGGACCCCCCGGGGGCTGCTCCCTGCGGGCAGCAGCCGAGTTTTTGAAGCAGCCCCATGCTGGGACATCCTCTACTTCAGCTCTTAGACACAACCCAAACTCTTTGGAAACTCTACCTGCCCGCACAGGCTGCGGGAGCTGGAGAGCTCCGTGCCGACGCGGCGTCCCTCACCTCGGGGAGCCCCTGGGCTGGGCA